AGCGAGGAACCGAACATACCGCGTAAAGAAAGTACTCGCTATTTTCTCGCAGCCGAGCCGAACAAGGCCGAACAGAGGGGAGATACCTGATGGCGATTCAACAACAAAAATCATGGGGGCTTGCCAATCAATAATGCCTTGTACGATGTTGTCCTCAATCGCTTGTGGGCGCCGTAATTCATTGGCCGTGGCCATTGGTTGGCGCCGCGACAGCCAATAAGATGCAATTAAGGGGTTTCCGGAGATACAAATGGTGATTACATAGCTGTCAAGCAGCAGCTTCCACATGCCAAGGCGTGTGTTCGGCGTTCAAAGGGCAATTCATTCCAGGAGAGATCGCTTGATCAGATTAGGCCCGGTGCAGAAGCGGAGGCATTTTGCACTTTCAAGATACCGTATGCGAAGTGGCGGGAGCCGAAAAACACATGTATCGTTTAGCCCTCCTGTTCGGACATCAGGAATGAGCGAATGCACAGGATCAGATTCGGTGTGCTGAAGCGGGATCATGCAAGTGCCACCAGCGTTGCGCCGAGTACAGAGGCGTAGCGAGATAAAATCTAGTTCCTGATATCTGACAATATAAGTACTCTTCAAGTTGACATCCGGCTGGCCCGAAAAACAAGGAATATTAGGATTGAATTATGTCGATGAGCGGGTTCACGCACGGTGATGCGACAGCGGATAGATAACATTGCATATGTAGGTAAGGCCTAGGCCGAACGATGATAGGATGTTGAGACGATGGACAAGTGTCCAGTCATTTCAGTGTCATGTACACGGTCAGTGGTCAGTTAGATGAGATTTGGAGAGGAGAGACGAAGCCGCAGTAGATTGGCAATAGATAGCGATAGCGATGATACAACCGAATATTCGGGAATAGTTCCGTTTGAGTTCCGTCCTTGAGAGAATGCGAACAACGCGAGATCTCCGCAAAAGTTTGAGATAATGGATCTGTAATGCAGGGGATGGGCGTGCTGGCCGAGCAACGGACGGACAAAAAAAAATAGACGTGATACCGCTGACGCTGCGGAGCGCTGCGGGCGGCGCTACCCGACCTACGGCGAGCGACAGCCGTACGTGGACATGCATATCCGTTTCTTTTTTTTTTTTGATATCGGGGTTTTATCCGGTCGTGTCCATGAGAGAGTGGGCGCTAGATGGCAGATGGTGTGTGAACAAGAGAAATCGACTAGAACTGCAGAAGAAGAGCCCAGACTTGGAGGTCGAGGAACAGAACCAGCGTCACGTGTGACGGCGTGACATGCCGGATCGATGACATCACAGTCGCGAACTGCGGCGCGTCCTTCGCTCCTTGAACTGAAACCACCATGACCTCTCTCGAAAGTATTCCCGTGGAGGTTATCCTCGATAACCTCTTGATGCAGATGCCCATCCAGAGCATCGTCCGACTGGGCTGTACCAACAAGGTACGGAACTCGACGGAACACCCGAACCCGCGCCTTCTTAATTAACTCTCATCATCCTACCCCAGCTTTTCGCTGATATCTGTGCCGACGAGTTGCTATGGCAGCGCCGACTTCAGACCGACTTTAATTTCTCCGGCGCTGGCACTGCTCGAGTCAGCGGATGGAAATTTATTTATAGAGGGCTGTTTAACCCCAAAGGTAGGGCTTTACGACCTCGGTACTGCTTCGATTTCTCTGATACTCCGGTTGTGTTCCGTTCGCTAGTGTTTGTCTGGGGGTAACTTCGATTATTAGGGTTACTGATATCTTCTCACTCACTGCCTTCAAGTGAAAATACCCATGGGAGGCTCGGTCTGGGGACCAAATTTCCCAAACGCAATATCAAAGGCGGGGTTCCATTTCCCACCCAACTCAGGATTCCAGGCGCCCGGATCGTAAGCATAGTTTCGGGGGGATGTATGGTCTTCTTCTTTTCACGGTACATCGCGCTGATGTCATAATTAAGGTCATTCCATGCACTTGATTCCGAGGGCAATATCTATGTTTGGGGTAAATTCAACAAAAATGTTTGCTTCTCGTGATGAACTTTTTTTTTCACAGGAACTTTGGACGCAACAATCTCGACCTTGACGAGCGATGGCTTCTCGCAGCCAGGGAAACAGGCGCCCCATCCGTTGCGTCTGGAGTTACCTTGTCGCATCAAGGGCGTTAGGCAGGTCCTTCCTTCCTCTTTGGCAAATCAATGGTAACACAGCGTCGACCCAGTTGTGGGAGACTTCATGCATCCGCCCTGGATTCCAAGAGTCGAGTCTGGACATTCACAAGCTGGGGCCGTCCATTCACACTTTCGTCTCGGCAACTCCTTCGGGACTCGAGACCAATTCAGATCGAGTGCGGTTGGGATTTCTCTTCCGTTCTTACCAAGTCGGGTGAAGTCTTTGCGTTTTGGCCGCGGTCTGGGACTATGAAGGAGCAAATCGACGCCCAGAACACCTCGATGGACGAAGAGCGTCAGTTTTTTGCCAAAGCCCTCCCTGAAGGCGTGATTCCTTGCGCTACGTGGGATCTCGAAGCCGAGCCCGCCCGCTTGCCTCCGCTCCCATCTTTACCGACCTTGTCTGCGACCGGTGATCAAGTCGAGAAAGAGCCCAAGATCATCAAGATAGCTGCTTTGGACGCGCGCCTCATTGCTCTGACAAACCAGGGTCATGTCGTATTGTTTTCTGGTCTTGGAAATGAGAATACAATTTCTGCTGGGACATGGAAATATGCAAGTACTTTGGCGTGTTCAATCCTCTCTGCTAATTTGAAATACGGTCAGCTTCCGAACTTCTGCGAGGTTGAGCGTGTGCGGGCCAGGCCCCCTTTCACGCCAACCTACGGGATGACGGGTATCGATCCTCCACAAACGATGAAGATCACTCATGTGAGTCCCCCCATTCATTTGTTAAAACAGCGCGAATATCACGGGTGCAGATATCTGCCCACTTCCAAAAGTTCTTTGCCTACTCTACCGGGTCGAGCTCCGTTTTGCTTATGGGCGATACGGACACAACGGAGGAAACATTTCCCCATATCAATCCTGCTCTTCAAAATAAATCTGTCATCTCGGTGCATTTGGGTGACTATCACAACGCCGCTTTGACATCTTCTGGCAAGCTGTTGACGTGGGGTGGCTATTCGGCCGGAGCATTGGGGCTCGGAGACCCCACCGTTCTTCCTCTTGGAACGCCAGGCGCGTTCCGCACTGAACAAGCGCGCTTGGATGCCCTGGAGCGCAATCGCGGGACCCCGCCCGACACCGACGTTCCAACAGAGGTCCGCTTTGATCATGCGCGAAAGACGCCGAAGGAACGGTTCTGTTTCTCGGCGTGTGCTGCGGGTTGGCAAACAGGTAAGATTCGATAAAGCCCTTTTATCGCCTGAAATAAATCCGAGCACAGGCGCTTTGGTCATCGATCTCCAGGTCGGTTTTGAGTCATAATCCGTTATGAGCATAATCTAAATTTATCTGCAGCCAGATGGTGAAGACGAGGAATCTGAAGAGGAGGAGTTAATGGAGGAACCACCGCGCCACGCTGTCAGACCCATCCGTGGCGGACATGGTCTCCCTATTCAGCACCCTCACCCGCTGGGCCTCCCGATAGGAGGTCCATTCCGGATCGGATTTGCTGGCAGAGGCGCCACCAGGGGGCGGGGAATGTAAGTAACATGCTTGTTGATTGTCTTATGTGTGTATTTGTATGCGGGAATCATGGACGTAACTTTGTGACATCGGCAGGCGAACATTTGAGGCCCGAGGGACCCTGATAGTTCCTCCTTTGAGGATTTGGACACTGTTTCATGGCAATAGATTATGTCTGGGGGATCTCCGGTGTGGAGATCCCAACTCTATGACTTCGCTTGCCACTATGCGCTCGCGTAAATGTTCACTCAGTTCCCTTCAGTTCCGCGACGGGCTCGGAGATTCCTGCATTCCACCCATTGTGGATTGCAGGTGGATTGCATCCGTACTGAACGTATGTGCATCCCAGCTTGAACCTTAACCTTTGTTGTGCATGTGGTGAGCAACCATAAACCAAAATTCGAGGGTCAAGTGCAAAGAGGACTCGACATGAAAATCTCTCAAACACGTTCGAGGTTCGTCAGTCTCGACGGGTCGATTCACATTCACCCAAGGTGGAGACAAAGGCTCGGCCATGGTGGGTCCAGCCTGGCGGCGCCGTGGAACTCCGGCCAAGGTTTGTTCGGGGCCCGCATCCGGCCTGGCGAGCGGGCGGTATTGGTTACCGTTACCATCTTGAACAGCGGAGGTTGAACAGCGGAGGATACTAATTATGCGATTGAAATTTCCGTCAAATGTGCATAATTTTCTGCGCGTCGGGAAGCTGGGCTCACGTCATCTGATATAGGACGAGAACTTTTGGCTTGAGGAGCATGAAAGCTTTGAAGTTCATGGATCTGTCAGAGTAACGGGATTACGAAGTCCCTAGGTTCCGATCTCACTACCTTTTCAACTGAACAAAACAGCGCGCCTTATCGATACATGACATCTACTTGTTCGAGTTCAATGACGTTCGTTGCCCTTCCGAGACTCGCCCCACTCCAGGCCGAGCCTTTTGTTGGCGATAGACTGAGGTACTGTTACGTCAGGCAATATAGCATACACTCATCGAGGCACAAGCTATTCAAAACCTAACCAATTCAGGGTCAATCAGAATACGCAACTGCATGCAGTGGCGCACAGTCTTCATTTCTCCCTTCCTGTGTTTGGTTCGGTCACTCGGTCATCTCCTCCTTGAAGCTTTCCTAATCCGGAGTCGGATTTTCTTTTCGCTGGTTCTCCGCTGTCTTGCATGACTGCATGCCGGCAACAAGAAGCCCAGCTTGATAAGAAACGGGTCATACTACCGTTACTCGACGAAAGCACCACTCAATCTATAACAAGAACTAGGCGAACAGGAGGTTTAAAGGGACTTCCGGAAGTGATCGGTCAAAGCGATGGATAGCAGCCAAGTAAGGAAACTTTCGTTGGAGGCAGATATTATATTTTGAAGATTGACCCCTTTCACCGGCCTGATGGTCTAGTAGTATGATTCCTTGTTAGGGTTAATGCGATGTGTCATTGCATAATACCGCATCGAGGAGGTCCCGGGTTCAATTCCCGGTTAGGCCCTTTTTGCGCTAAGTTTCTTTCCGTTCCTCAGCCTCGACACTTAGTTGTCCCTCCTGGACCTGCCTCTTTTTCATTTTTTCGGACAACTTAGAATTAAGCGTGAGTTAATAATCAGTTTAAGACAATATCTCAGGCCGAAATACGAACGGAACTTTAACATCCTTTCAATTGCCATCTACAATAAATTTCACCCATGAAAGCCCTATAGTCAAGTTCATTCTCAAGTTGCTCAAATGCGATCAATCTGTTGTTCAGGCTAGAAGCACAATCAGAGGTATCAACGTCTACCAGGATGGGTTTCTGGGTGTCCCGTTTTAAGCTTTGTGCATGCCCTCAAATTGAACTGAGATCGACAACGCAAGGGGATGCGCAGCTATTAGGATGGTCGATCCGATCTGCTTCTTGAACCATAACGAAACAAAACTATGATCCTCATTTCCGAGTCTTACGTTGCTGCAGAAGAGCATACACAATCCTGTTATAGAACGGAAAAGCGCATGCTGTAAGAATTCGAAGACAAGGCATCTCCCGGTATTATGGCAGTCAAAAAAAGTACACAACACCGCCTCAATCTACTTGAACCTCGTCAAAATGTTCCGAAGAGGAACGGGCATGCGAGTTTTTTGCGTTTGCGTCTGCGTCTGGGCCGGCGTCTGAGTGACGGCAATGGATGCGCGTCTCAGCACATTCTCGTTGAGCGTCCACCGTGCACGACTTGGGGTCGGGTTCGGCGACTCGGAGCTGGGTTTGTTTTCCTTCGTAGCGGTAGCAGTCGAAAATACACGGCTGAGAGAGTGAAGTCCGCTGCCGGAAGCTTTTTTGGGCAGGCTTCTCGTGGGTGTAGCAGGGGCCTTTGCGGGAGATGGAGCGGGCGAAGCCAAGTGATAGGATGCTCCGGGAGCAGTCGCTCTTCGTTGGTCAGGGACTCGACCAAGTGGGGTAGATTTGGGAGGAGACCGAAGAGGGGCAGGAGTCGTAGGGCGCACTGTGCTGTTGGACCTTGGTCGTAGAGGTAGAGACCGCCGACTGGGAGGACTCGACGGCCCGAGCGATCGGCGGGGGCGGGGCGTTACGATAGCTGGGACCTCCATAGAATCTGGGCGTTCGTCCGGCAAAGTAAAGCGAACACTCTTGGAGCTCTTCAGGATGCTTCGCACGCTGGTCCGTTGGGCTGGACGTGGTGGGAGAGGCATTAACGGAGGTGCATTTATGTGGCCTCGGTTCGAAGATGAAGGACTGTCTGTGAGCGACTCTTCCGCATAATCGACCAAGTCGGATCGAAGAGGTTTCTTGACGAACTGCGAGTCAAACGGGCGGGAACCGTACGCATCCAAAAGGCCGTCTGCGAATGCCCACTCATCGTCTTCTCCGCCTGCCCCGCTTTGCTGAGCCTCGCGGGTGGGAACATCAGAGTCGATCGAGGCGCACTGCGATCTCAGACTCGTCACCATTTGTTGAAGATCCATTGAACGGCGACTAGGGTGAGATGCAAATTCAAACTTGGGGGAATAGGTTGAGGGAGAACCAAGGAATGCAGTGGGCATACTAGGGTATTCATTCTCGTCGGGGGACTGCTTGACTGACAACGGCGGTAGCATTTTCTTGCCTCGACGAGCGGCTAATGCAAGAGGAACACCAGGGGTCAGATTTCCGGACGATTCCAGCGAGACCGGCAGTGAGAAATGAGAATTCGAAACAATCAGGGAGGGTGGTGGAGGCGCGACATGGCGAGCATTCGCCTCCTGCTCCTTGAAAAACGAGTTCAAGTTCTGGAGTTCGGAAATCATATCTGCTACCCCTGGATCCATCGTATTTGACGAGGCCCGGAGGGACAGGCGAGTGGATTGGCCGCCAGAGTTCAAGATGATTTCGCGTTCGAACACCAACGCATTTCGATTGCTAGATCTGCGGGACGTATCCGGAGGTGGGCATGTGGCAGATATCGCTGAAGTCGGTTCTTGTTCCTTTAATCCTGGAGTGCGATGGCGTCGAGCGAGGGCCATTTTCGTCTTGAAAGCCTGTGGACTATAGATTGAACCTTCAGATTTCCAAGATATTGGTTCGGCATTGTCAATGCCGCCCCATGGAGTATGCTCAGACGAATCAGGCGCGACACCATTCTGTCGAGTCGTTAGCGATGCGAAAACGACATGAAAAACAAGTTTGATTTACGAGCCACGTCTCAACGAGCAACTTCTCCCTCAGCATCGTCCGAAGCCGCGGAGGAGTGGGCGATGTAAGAGTCGCCTTGGAGATCTTGCGCGAAGGGGTACTGTGAGACATAGTGGGACCATCGTGGTGGCCGATAATGGTGGCCAGAGGGATCATGCAGCCTGCGGGAATGGGTGGGGTAGATGATGTGGACGAGGACAGAGAAGAGAGCGTGAGGGATTCAGACAGTAGTGAATCGTCGAGGACGCAACGACTGAGATCAAGGGATCCAGCGGACGTGCGAGAAGGTAGGCGCGAGCCAGATGCATACAAGGAAGGAGTCATGGTGAAAGTAAAGGAATGAGGATGGTGGCTGACGAGAACTATAAATAGAGCGTTCGAAGCCTGTCCATTTTAGGGCGAATGCGCAAATCTCTTCCGCCGACAGAAATCACAGACGAGATACCAAGGGCGCAGCATGAATCCCTCCTGACTCTCGCCATAAATTTCAGCATTGTCGCAACGCCAGCCCTCGTGGATTTACAAGCAATCCTAGACCATGCGTATTCGAATATACAGCCTTGTCCGCAGTTTCATCAACTCTAGATTGACTCTAGACCTGACCCATCTATCGTTCGTCTGGTGAACGATCGGAGCACTCTGATGCAGTCGTCGCCTTGAACGCAGGGTTGGCGACGTATATATTTTGACAGCCTCCGTTCGACATTCCGCCCATGATTAATGCATGATTACCGAAACTTACCTGGGGAAATTGTAGTGGGAATATAATTGTAGTCGGTGGCAACGTTGCAATATTTTTGCGTCCGCGAAGTGAAGTGGGAAACTGAAAGGAAGTTTAGACAGCTTTACGTAACGTGTGATCAAGGCATCGACCTAACCATTCCCTCAAATTTCTGACCTGGGCCGCTCAGTTGGTTCTTGCGTCGCCGCCCTCGACTGTCGTTTCACGTTTTAGCTCCCTCAATTCTATCCCTTCCGACACGCTTCGTCGCCGCCATACTTGTTGGGTTGGCAGAGTTTATCGTAGACATTGGTGAGTACACACTCCGCGTCGCTGCAGCGCAAAAAGATGAGATATCGAGACATTTGCACGTCAGTCGGACTGACGAGCGCTTGCGCTCATCACGGAGGTCGTTAACTACGCATTCACTGATTAATTTTTTTTATAAAAAATCTCTGCCTCTCTCGATTATCTTCACCAGTGCTCACGATTTACCCAGCTTAATTCCAGCAGGGCAAGCACATCTTCAGCGCCGGCGAAGACGTGTGTGCTTTTTGAGCTTTTGACACGGGTACAGCCTCCTCAACGCCCACTCCAGGTCCATGTCTGCCGGGGCAAGTCCAGAAACACGCAACACATTAACGTCATCCCCAGCAGTCAATGGAGGATCGGCAGTCCCTCTTGTTCCGACCAATACCGTAACGACCGCGGCCGGCCTCACTGTGCGCACTCGCATTGACCCAGTCCTCACCGTCGACGATGTCGTGAGACAACTCTGTGTCAATCTCAAGATCAAAGAGCCGCCTTCAAATTTTGCTCTCCGGGATGAGACGGACGAGTTGGTGACGAACGACAATCTAAGGAGAAAGATCAAGACCAAGGTCAATCTCAAGTGCGCAATTTTTTACTTGGTCTAAAACAGGCTCACTCTTACCTCCTCACATAACAGGCTTGTGAATGCACCTTCACGCGAGGCCAGGGAGACGGCCGAAAAGTTGAGACTACGGGACGATACGACAACGAGTCTCAAGATGACTTTATTTACTCTGCAGAAATACATCCGGGTAGATACCTCTCTTTCACTTACCCCGAGGCACAGTTTAATCAAGTCTTTCTCGCAGGAGGAACAATTCGCACAAGCCTTTATTAACTGTTCAGGGCTTTCTGACTTGATTGATGTAATCTTCAGCGCGCACGGAAATACTCTTGCCGTCCGTCATTCGTTTATTTCTCTCTCGCTTCGTTTGACGTGCTCCTTCTCTAGTACGCGTTGACGGCCATGCAAAATTTGATGGAACTGGATTATGGCTGGTCAACACTGGACGATGCATTCATTTTTCAAGTGGTCCAAATTCTGTCTTCCCCCCAATCTCTGGTCAACGTCTGCCGTCCCGCAACGGCCATTCTCAAAAAGCTGGTTGAGGCGGACCCGATGAGTGCGCCCGGCCTGCAGCTCGCGAGTTCCAGTCGGGGCCCTCCAAGTGTCCCTGCAGGATCGGTCTATCGTTATGGCTTTAGCGTCGTATTTGAGCAGATGCGCAAGGGACACGGCTTCCTGGAGACTGTCATCAGCAGGCTCGGAAGCGCAGATACCGCCATGGCTGGGCACAGGTACATGATCGACGATTCTTATTCTCACGTGATGCTGAATTGACGCGACAGCATGATGCTCATCAATTCCCTGTTGGCTCATGCAAGCGACACTCGGTGGGAAGAATTTATTTCGGAACTGGAGAGGCTCAACGTGCGGAAAGCTGTCGTGGTGAGCAAGTCCTCGTGGTATACCTATTTTTCGCCCGCTCACACGCTCCCAGCGACTCATGTCGTCCCACACAATTGAGGATTTGACGTCCTCCATCCTCGACTTCCAAGCGAACATCATACGGGTAACCTATCGCAAGAAGACCACCCTTGTCGATCTTGAATCAGAGCCGTCCCACGTTGCTGCGTTGAAGGCAATATGGACGAGTAGCAAGGTGGCTGAGTCGGTCGACGAGAACGGTCAGGTCTTGAAGTGGCGGTTGCTCGGGTTCGATTCCGAGAACGTTGAACAGGAGTTCAATGACGTCGGGGTGTTAGGTTTGGAATGTTTGGTATGGTCTTTAAG